GTGTGACAACATTTTCAAATTATATTTCATGCCTCATATGTCATAGTTATCTTCACTCTTAAAAATAAGCATTCTTTATTGGCATCTATGGTTCCATGAAGAACCTTTAACATCCATGCACTCTTGAAGTTTTCCCAAAAGAACCTGTCAGTGAACAGTTCTTAAAAGAACCATTTTCCTTGGTGTGAAAAACACTAAATAACCCTTTTCCCCTATGAAGAACCTTTTGTGCATTGGAAAACTCCTATGAATGTTAAAGGTTCTCACTGAAAGGTTCTTTGAGGAACCTAAAATGGTTCTTCTATGGCAACCCTACAAAACCCCCTTTTGGAACCTTATTTTTAAGAGTTCTGTCATTTCTATTCATATGGTTTTTACCTTTGATAATGAAGACTTTGTCCTCCAATGGACTCTCGAATGCTGCATCGATATGATCTGGAATCTCAGGCCAGAAGCTTGTGATGAGATGTTGTTCAACGGTTGCACTCAGAGGATAACTGCGCCAGAAGAAGCTGCAAATAAAGCCAGATACCGACGGGTCAGATATGACACGTCTCAGCTCACGAGGACATGTTGCAAGCATTTCTGTCTCTTTACCTGCCCTTGAAGAACATGATCTCTCCGCGGAGCATGGTGACAGCATCCAGGACCAGTTTGGGATCGCATTTGTTTGGGGTAACTGGTGGTGTGGGTTTTGGACCTGTTATATCAGGGTTTGGGCCTGTTTGATAAAAAAGCCAAGTTATTAGAAACACCACTTTCAGCGTCTTTTCAAACCATCACTGATGTATCCGATTTGTAGCATATTTACCATAAAGAGACTGGATTCCATCGACATCATCTTTAGGGAGGACAAAGGTATCGATGTCTCTGTAAATGTAGGTGGGATACATCAGTGCACCTGGATCCCGGGAATGTTCGAGCCCTAGAGAGTGTCCGAACTCATGGGCAGCCACCAGGAACAAATTGTAACCTGAGGAATAAGTGGGAATGTAAATACAGCTGGGTTTTTCTTTTGTGCATTGGTACAAGCTGGAGACATTTCAAAAGTAATCTGCCCTCACCTTGAGGAGATCTGTAGAAGAACTTCTCGTCATCGTCAAAATGGGCATCACCACCGATGCCTTCAAATGGAGGGAAAGCGTGAGCCAGAAAACCATTTGGCCCGTCAAAGGGGTATCCATCCCGATGATCTGGAAAGAAGAAGAGATTTGTTTTTTAAAGTACTCTTAAACTCACTCTATATATATATGTTGAAAAGCATTCAACAAATTCAAACATGTACAAATAAAATATAGGAACATTTGTTGACAATAACCACCTAATTGAGCTTGGCAAATTCATATGTATTATTATATATAGGCTCTAATTAATATATATTATATAGTTAATAAATATATTTATAATTAATATGCATTTTAATACACTTTAAAAAAAATATATATTTATATATACAAATATATTGCAAGGAAATCTAATCCAAATTACTTCCCTTTTATCTCTACTAATATTTTATATCTCTACTATATCGTACTAACACACATGAAAAATTAAAACAATAAAAATTATTTTTCATAATTGGCACATTTCAATATTAAAAAATATATGAAATATATTTGTAAAAAATCTAGCAGTATCGTAAAAATCCTATTTCTCACAATTTTTGTATACATTTCCATTTAAAATATAAAAAACAATAAATAATCAAATAAACTTTCTATGGAAGAGATTAAAACTTGATTTAATTTGTCTTTATGACAAAAAGACAAAACACACTTGCACTAAAAACATTTTCTGAGCACAAATCTTAATTTCTTATGTGTTGTAAAACATTAAATTTAACATGCTTTAAGGAGTTTTAGATATTTTAACTGGAGCTTCACAAGATAAAAAAATACTCATTAAAGTGTTAGTGGTTAGTTTAAAAACTGACCTCCAACAGCAAAGGAGATCATGATGTCAGCTGTGCCGCTGTAGATACGGGTGAATCTCAGAGGAGTGACATCTGCCCACACTTGCAGGGCCCTTTTGATGGAATCATCCACCTCTGCTACAGACATGTCAGGGGTGTAGTTCTCAATCCTGGCAACAAAAAAAAGACAGCAAAATAAATGTTACAAGTCCTTTTTATTCAGTTTTGTCTTAAACAGTTTTGTCTGTTAGCAGGTCTCACCTGTAGGTCAGATCGTGTTTTTTCCACTTGTAGTCCCCTTGAAAAGTGGAGTACGCCGCAACGTCTGGAACCCCGCAGCGTGGCTTCTTCATCACATCCAGCGTCTCCTCATCCAGCCTCCCTGTTACCTTGAGTCTAAAGAATTGCTGCATCTCTTTCAACCTCAGACTCATGGCACTGGAGCGTTTTTCAGCGTCAGAAGTGGTCTGCTTTGGCAGGCCATATAACTGATTCAGGTAATTCTGAAAAAAGAAGATCAAAGTTAGTTTACATTCTGTATCTAACAGCATTGTCAAAGTAGTTCAAAGCGTGCAAATTACCACCGCAATGCTCTCTCTGTCTTTATCAGCACGTGGCGCTATTGGGCTGGTGTAACCAGAAACCACCAAAGCGATAAGAACGCACAGCTTGTAGTAGCTCTTCATGTTGCTTCTCTTTCAAGAAACTGATGCAGTCTGTGTTTTGCGCCTCTCTTATATACACCAAAGACGGACAGATTGTGCAACACGAGACTGAGTCACATATTGCACCTTTCGCACACAGGAAACAAAATAAGGGAATGGCATGCCACCAAATACATACATATATATATATTTAGAAATAAATATATTCTACTGAGCACTGTATAGTCTAGTTGTAATTAAATCTCCTTGTGTCATTTATATAAAAACATTTATTTTAAAATATTTAGGAGTGGTCAACTCTCAACCAACCCAGGACCCCCTAATACATTTCTGCATTTAGTAGCTGATAATATTAATACAGTATACTGTATAATATGTGAGAAGATGATAAGTTTTATATTTGTATGTCTATATATATTCACACACATACACACACACACATTTAACACTGTGTCGCAGGATACTAATTGATAAAGTTTTGCATGCAAAATTTTTGTCCAATCTCGCTTGATACATGACACTTCAGATGCTCAGCAGTCTGTGATCATCATTGTCTGATTGTCCTTATATATATATATATATATATGTGTGTACGTATATATTTTTTTAATTCTGTTGTTTATTAAATGTTTTATGTATCAGTCCAAAGACCCCCTTGCAGTACTTTAATGAATCCTGGATTTACATTATTTACACAAAGTATTATCATTAAAGGCAAAAATTTAGCAAAGAATTTAAAGAAAACTAAAAAAACACACATTTAACACTGTGTCGCAGGATACTAATTGATAAAGTTGTCATGTAATCTCGCTTGATACATGACACTTCAGATGCTCAGCAGTCTGTGATCATCATTGTCTGATTGTCCTTATATATATATATATATATATGTGTGTACGTATATATTTTTTTAATTCTGTTGTTTATTAAATGTTTTATGTATCAGTCCAAAGACCCCCTTGCAGTACTTTAATGAATCCTGGATTTACATTATTTACACAAAGTATTATCATTAAAGGCAAAAATTTAGCAAAGAATTTAAAGAAAACTAAAAAAAAAATGTTTTTACATGCACTTTCCCATGAAGATGCATGACAATGGTCGTGAGGAATCTTACATAAACTTACTATAACTCTTGCATAGTAACTCTTGCAATAACCGTGGTATTTGTGGTAAGACCATGATCAGACAATGTGCATGTCATTTCTAGTACATCCACATTTAGTCCATTATTGTAGGTGTGTTTGCTACAAAATCCCACTATGTCTCACATATCATCTTGAGTAGGGGAAGCCCAATGCATTTAAAACATCCTCTTTGTTCTTTAGTGTTGTAATAAGATGAATGACATGCAGATGGGTTATGACAGCTCTGCCTTAGTCATCAGTGAAATGGACCAGAATAGACCGGTTTGAAACTGTTTCTTGACAGTGTTTTTCAACACTGAATGGCTTCTGAGCTCATTATTAAAGACTATTATTAGTGATCTGAGTAGCTGCTTTAATTACGAAGAAATCCAATAGTCCATTAGAACCAAAATTGTCCTAAACAGACTAAAATGTAGTTAATTTAGTTTTAATACATGATGAATCTGCAAAAAGAGCACAATGATAAACTGCAAAAGCTTAAAAACATGTTATTTTTGCAGATTCATCATGTACTAAAACTAAGCTAAAATAATGAACTGCTCTATAAACAAAACTGTATCAATTGGGGAAGTTGAGTCAGATGCTGTATCCCACACAAAAAGGCTATAGACCAAATGTGTACAGTGGGGAAAATATTTATTTGATCCCCTGCTGATTTTGTAAGTTCGCCCACTTACAAAGAAATGAAGGGTCTGTAATTTTTATGGTAGGTTTATAGGTATGTATAGAGAGAATACCAACCAAAAAATCCAGAAAAAATCACATTATATAAAGGTTAGAAATTGATTTGCATTTCAGTGAGTGAAATAAGTATTTGACCCCCAAGCAAAACATGACTTAGTACAACAAGAAACCCTTGTTGGCAAGCACAGAGCTAAGACGTTTTTTTGTAGTTGGTCACCAGGTTTGCACACATCTCAGGAGGGATTTTGATCCACTCCTCTTTTAGACCTTGCACGGAGCTCCAGATCGAGGCCGATTGATGGTTGTTTTGTATTTCTTCCATTTCCGAATAATCGCACCAACTTCTTGCTTCTTGCTGATGGTCTTGTAGCCCATTCAAGCCTTGTGCAGATCTACAACCTTGTCTCTCTCTTTCATCATCACTCAATGAGATCCACAGATATGCTACTGAGGCAATTTATTTCAAAACCATTTAATGAGAACTTTACATGAATTGGAATCATGCAACAGGAAACCATCAAGCCAGACAAGGTGGATGCAACAAAATTATTCGCAATTTGGTTCCCATCACCATAGATGGTGTGATACTGATCAACTGCCTGTAATTTCTCGGCACTGAAGCCATGTGTGTGCAGCCACTGTCTTCATTACTTGTCTAATTTTGGGGTTGAATTCCAGTTGTTGAGGTCCTGCGAAGAAATAAACACTTCCTAGACAATGATAAAGAAAATTAATTTAGTCCAAAGTGTGAAAACCATGGCCTCAATTTGATTTAATTATGCAATGTTTGGTTATGTTTAAATTCTCTTTGTTTTCCCCTGGGGAAAAAAGATAGACTCATTATTCACAGTTTTGGGGGTCTTTTTTTTTTTTTTTTGAAAGTTGCACTTACATGATGTATTTTAAATGAATGGAATGGTATCAAAAATATCTTCAAAAACCTATCTATTGTATATTGCATATTTATTTAAAGCATTTTATATAATTTTCCAGTTAAAATATAAAAATCCTTAAAACAAGATCAATTTATTGCACAAGATGTTGAGGGATAGAGAAATAATAGAGAAATACTGGGAAAAAGACAATATCTATAGTAATAAATAAATTAATGTATAAAGTTTTGCTATCATGCTCTATTATGAACACTGAACACTGAAATTATAACAAAAATATAGAACATTATTTTCACTATTATTACACTTCCTTACCCAAATCCTGTTTTTTAAGTAGTATTTTTCTAGCCTTTTCCAGTTAAAATATCTAAACATATAAATATATATATAAATTTACTGCACAAGATATTAAGGGAAAAAGGGAAATACTTGGGGGGGGGG